ACATGGCTATTCGAGCAAGCGTTTACAAATACAGAGTAGCTAATACAGGAAATCGAATGACTTGACAATGGAATTGGACAATGCTTGAGAATAATGAGATGCTGATGATGTCGCTTTTATTGTTTTTATGATGTTTTATACTGCTTAATGTTTTTTATCTATTATATTTTATGTATACTGATTTGTTAGAAACCGCCTTGAGTCGCCAATTGGCTGAGAAAGGCGGTATATAAATACAGTAAATAAATAAACAAATAAATAAATAAATATAACTCATTTCTCTGGCTTTAAAACTATCTTGCTTCTCTGGCTTGAGACAGAAGCTGAGCAAATTCATGCTTCTCTGGTTTATAACTAGCTTATCTGGCTTTAAAATGGGCTTACTTCTGTCTCAAGCCAGAGAAGCAAGCCAGTTTTAAAGCCAGAGAAGTGATTTATAAACCAGAGAAGTATGAATTTGTGAATTTCCTCTGCTTGCTTTTCCCCGCTCCTGGAGTAAAACAACTACTTTCCCCCACTCTTGGAGTAAAACAATTACTTTCAAAGTAAAGACCACGCATTGAAACAAGAAATAGCACTTTCAAACTATTAACGAAAGGATTCAGAAGTCTCAGAAGTTCAAAAAGTTTTGAACTTTTTTTCTGTGAAAATCAGAATTGATATTAGAATCAAACCACCGGTGCTCCCTACATCCGAAATGAGTTTTGAACCTAGTGGGTAGCTGTAGTTGTGTAACATGAAAAGAATATAGGATTCAAGGTAGAATCCAGAAATTAAAATAAATACAAATAAAACCACACATGTGTAGAAACATGCAAAAGTTATTGTTAGCAGGTAATGAAACTAGCTGTAGAATTAAAACAATTTAAATGTATATATTGAAAAGATAAGAAATAAAACCAAATTAGCACAGTATTAAAAGCTCTTTCAAAAAATAATAGGCATCTCCATTTCCTGGTTAGATTTTTAAAAATCTCCCAGATAGCCTGAAAGAAATTTGGAATTATTCAGTACACCCTTCCTGTGCATTTTGTCTTGCAATGCGATTTTGTAATATTTCTGTTAAGATATATAATCTTATATTGACATAAATTACATCTTAATCTGGAAAGTTTGTTTTGCTCAAGTATTTGGAGGACATGAAACCCTCAGACATCCTTACATGTCTGTAGTCACCATCTCAGATGATGTGTGTCTTTCTTTGCCTGAATGTGTGCCTAGAAGGAAAACCTATTTTGAATCCTGATCCATTTCTAAAGTTATAGAGTAGAAGTTGCCAAACACAACATTCTGAACAGAAGAATCAGATACCCTGTAACAGAAGCTGTAAATTTTATTTTAATCATGACTAATTCATCTTGAACCAGAGTGGTGACTGACTAATGCCATGCTAATAAAAGGAAGTCTATTGTATGCAATACAAACTTTTTGGCACGTTTGCTCTCTGTAGAAAAGAATCATATTAATTTAACCTACTACCAGTTTGAAGGAATAGAATAATAAGATGGTGATCAAAAGGAATTTATCCCTTCTTCCTCCTCCTCCTCTTTTTTTGGAACACACTTGTTGGCTCTTGCTACCAATCTGTCCTTGCATATCAGCCATGCACTGTGTGTTAAATTCACATATGAATGAGCCATCTCAGTTAAAATCATCACAAATAGTTGTTTCTAGGCAACTAGGTCATATGGTTTCTCATCTTTTATCTCATTGGCTTGATGCCTCAAAGATCTGAGGGCATGCTTCATTGGCATTCAGATATGTTTCATTCTTGTCTTTCCATTTTGTTTCAGTTTGAACAACTGGCTTATTTGTGGATGGAAAGACAAAAATCAGGTGGAAATTATAGCCGGCACCGAGCTCAGACAGAAAAGCATGTGGTATTGTGTGTGAGTTCTCTTAAGATTGACCTGCTCATGGATTTCCTAAATGAATTCTATGCTCATCCTAGGCTTCAGGTAAATCAATTCAGGCATAAATCTTTTACAAACTGACTTCTAAAGTGTTCAGTTCAGGTATGACTGAAATGATAATCTTAGCCTTGTTTCAAAAGTCTGGCAGTTTTCCCTGTAAAGTTTAAGCATATCAAAAATCAAGACGCATTAAAAATCAAGACGTGTTAAGAAGCCTTACCATGGATGTTTAAAGCTGATTAGAGCATCCATGCTTCCTTTCATTTTTGGTGCTCATCTTGATGTTTCTTATGAACAATGGAATTTATGTGGGTACCTGTGTTTTCTGCTGCAAACCCAGATATTGTTTTCTAAATCATGTAGAGGAAGTGATTTAAATTCATCTCAGCATGGTGCAAAGATTTGTGCTTCAATCTCTTGCTGAGCAGCTTTGGCTTCAGTGAAATCACTGTGCAGTGACATAGCATGGACCTGTTTTCCTTTTTGTTTGAAAACTGAAAATCAAAATAAGTTACTTCTCATGAATCATATTCTCCACTTCTAGTCTGACTGAGCTAAACATTAAACAAAAATGTATTCAGTTGAATGTTCTTTCTCATTCTGATCTCCACTTCTCCATTCTCTTTCAATCACATTTTTACAGGACTACTATGTGGTTATCCTGTGCCCCACTGAGATGGATGTTCAGGTTCGAAGAGTTTTACAAATCCCAATGTGGTCTCAAAGAGTTATCTATCTTCAGGGTTCAGCGTTGAAGGATCAAGACCTGTTAAGAGCTAAGTAGGTACAAATACACTTCCTTCCTTCCTTTTTTTCAATATTCCGTATTAATAGTATTCCTGTACCTTTGTATTTTGTAAAGTGAACAATAAACATGATTTACATTTAAAAACTGTTTCCCCGCGAGGAGGAGAAGGGGGAGTGGCCATGGGTCTCTGTAGACATGCAGTTTCTCCTTTGTGGACATGCAGTTTAGAAGTCCTTTCTGCTTTTGGTTTTCATTGTTTTTTTGAGTGGAGAACATACATTGGGTTGTTAGGGACATAGTGTCCAAATTTGGTGTCAATTGCCCCAGTGGTTTCTGAGTTCTGTGAATAGCACAAACGAACATTACATATATATATATATATATATATATATATATATATATATATATATATATTCATATACATATTATTTTCATCCTTAGACAGGAAGTATCTTTACAAATGATCTCAAAGATTGAATAGGCCTTTCCAAGCTTCCCCTTTTTAGAATTTTGAAAACTGATAACAGAACTTCAACATGATCCAGTGGCCTCTTGCATCTTACTTCAAGAAAAAAGCAAGATGTATATTCAATAAATAAATAATTAAAATAAAATAATTGGTGCATTCATGCTGAAAAGGTATTACATTCTACCACAAGGTTGCCACACTTAGAACAAAGGATGCAGCCCTAAGTTTCATCTTAAACAAAGCAACAAATAATTTCAGGAATTCCCTTCCTACTGCGAGAGTATATTAATGAACCATGCATTTTTTTAAATAGGCCACTCACAATTTAGAACTTTTTTTCATGTCAGGAGCAACTTGAGAAACTGCAAGTCACTTCTGGTGTGAGAGAATTGGCTGTCTGCAAAGACGTTGCCCAGGGGACGCCTGGATGTTTCATGTTTTACCATCCTTGTGAGAGGTTTCTCTCATGTCCCTGCATGGAGAGCTGGAACTGATAGAGGGAGATCAACCTTCTCTCTCTGAATTTGAATGGTTCCACCGGCACAAGGGTTTAAGCTATTGCACCACCGGGGGCTCCTAAGTTATAATTTATTATGTGGATAAGGCTGCATTTTCTGTACAGAAAACACCATTTCCTGCATGAAAAATAGTTCAAGACTGAAAAATTAATTCAAGTGCAGAAAAAAGGCTTTTTGAATTTTATACAGAACTAACTCCCAATCACAGCTTTTTGTATGTTTGCAGAAACAACATTTTATATACAGAAATTAATACTCCTGCATTGCAATGTTCTTAAATGTTGTTTCCTGTACAGAAAATGCCACTTTCTGTGCAAAACAACTATGTGCAAATTTTGATCATAATAAATCCTGTCTACACTAGCAACGTAACACAAACTAGGTCAGAAGTTGTACCTGGATGTCCAGATGATGTCCAGGGGTTTTTAGCACCGGGATTGTGGCGCAGCTGGCTGAGTGTCAGATCACTCTGACCAAAAGGTCATGAGTTCGAAGCCAGCCCGGGCTGGAGTGGGTGTCCAGCCATTGTGTAGCCTGTTGTCGACCTTTGCAACCCAAAAGACAGTTGCATCTGTCAAGTAGGAAAATAAGGTACCACCTTGTGTGGGAGGCTAAATTTAACTAATTTATGAGGCCATAAAGAAAAAGACTCCGGGGAATGTGGAATGCGGAAGAACTTCATCGGTGTCGTTGATGGACGATGAAAAGCAGCAGCTCCCCTGGCGGCCAGAAAAAAAAAGTTAAATAGCCTTTGTCTGTTAAATGTTGTTTGTCAAACTGGCATTGAATGTTTGCCATATATGTGTTTACTGTAATCCGCCCTGAGTCCCCTGCGGGGTGAGAAGGGCGGAATATAAGAACTGTAAATAAATAAATAAATAAATAAATAAATAAATAAATAAATTTTAAACCTCCACACAGGGTAAAACCAGTTAGTCTAATTTTATTCCACGTTAGCAAAAGTTACAGAATTCTCTGGAGCTTTTCTGTCCTTGGAGGGTTGGGGTGAGCAGCTAGGTCAGTTCAGATCCAGAAGCAATACTGCTGTTCACATGGGCCAGTGCCATCATCTTTTGCATGATCCACAAACCCGACACCTTTCCCCTTTCCTCCCTCCAAGTTGCTGGCTTCAGCAAAGATGCCCAACAATAAACAGGAATTATCTGGAGCTCCATAGCTACCACTGTAGAGAGAAACAATGACAAAGGTAAGGGTGATCATCCAGCAGAACTGAATTGGGTTCCACCTGACTGAATAGTCAGGGCTCCACTCTAATTGCTCCCATGGGTTTGGAGGAGAATCTGGGATTGGCCCAAAGCAACAATGCTTCAGACCAGGCCCAGACTTAGATGATCATAGAGAGGCTTGCAGTCTAGTCTTGAGATTATTTATTTATTTATGACGTTTATATGCCACCTTTCTCACCCTGGTGATAAAAAGGAATCTACATGTACTCTCCTTAGGCCATGCACTTGATCCTTTAGACCAGATCTGTCCAGAAGAGTTAGACTACCTATCTCCAGACTATGGAGTCTACTCACAACAAGCCTTTCAAAGACTCAAATTGGCATTCCTCAAATCTACATTTGCATTCAAGCATTGGTCAAGAACTTGCACAACTACATTTGATTCATATATGACAGAGAAGTACAGTTGGATGTCACCAGCATACTAATGTCACTTTGCTCCATTTTCACCACTCCCAGTAGTCTCATACAGATTATACATAACTCATACTATACTGTGACACGTCTGTATCATATATTTAGCTCCATGATATATTTGGTTTTTGTTAGTGTGTTCAAATTGTTTCCAACTTATGGTGACCAACAAGTTTTTCTGGGGCTGAAAGTATGAGACTTATCCAGCATCAGCCTTACTGCATTAACACTAAAGCCTCTTCATTATACATGTTTTTGAGTATGTATTGTAATGTGTCCCAGCAAAGACTGTCATGTCACAGCACTCCTTAATGTTATGGATAGAAGTGGTTCATTTTCCTGGAAAACTGAATACAAAGAGTAACAAAAAAGAATAAAAAGAATGAGTTTTATGAGCATTCTTTGTTCCCATTCAGTTATAGAAAAGAACATTGTCTGGTTCCTTGGTGTCACATTTTCAAAACCCTTAAATGAAATAATAGAGCCTCTTTGTAGGTGCAGTTTTTTTCTGTGCAGTGCTGTGTGTTTCAGGTTAGCATAGAAAACAATAACAGGGAACAGTGGTGGATTATACTGCTCCAGTCATGTAAGAACTGGGTCTGTGGGTTTCTTCTGTTTCATTGCTGCGGACATGAAATTTCATTCTCTCTCTATATGCGTAGGAGTCTTATCTATTAGGCAGGCAAGATACTTAGTTCATCAAATCTCTGTTGTAATGTACCTGGTAGCTCCTGTGTTGCTCTTATACTGTATATTAGATATATTTAGAGAGGAATCAGTTAATTGCTTATGATGAGAAGAGCACAAATTTCACTTGGAAGTAATAGCTATAGATAATTAGTTTAAAAAACATAACAAAGGCATAAGATTAGTTCCTTATATTTTTGTTGGAATTCCATTTGTTTTTTCAGTACTTTCATACTTTACTAAATTATTTTACATGGTTCAGTAAAGATTTTACATAGTTCACAAATGAGTTCTCCTTTGTTCAGAACTCCTGCTTCAACATGCTCTATTGTATGGCTTGGAACTGATGAAAAGATGGTTGGAAGAAGAGTATGTTTTGTACTTCAGACTAGTGGTTTATAGCATGCAGGTGTTTTTTTTTTTAGTTCCTAAAAGTACCTATTTAGTTTCTTCTAAGAAATGGGAAAGAACTGTCTGTTTTAGGTACTTTGGAATTATAATACCGAAGCCTGAAATAAACCCATCCAGTGCACTTAGTATGTTGGACTGAAAGCAGTAGTGTGCTTGGAAGTTCCTTTAGCCAAAGTAATTATTTCTTGTCTATTTGCCTTTCTGCACACTTTTAGGGCTTATCCAGGCTTCATTTTAAGCTGGAAGATTACTGACATTTCAATTCTATTCTATAGGACAATGAAGAAGTTATCTTTTTTATGACTTTCAGGATTTCCAGCATTTTTGCATGGATACAAACAAAAAGCTACAGCACAATTCTATGCATGTCTACTTATTTTGATATATATATATATATATATATATATATATGAGAGAGAGAGAGATTTTATACAGTAAAGGTTAAAAATGAAGAAGTCTCATAGATAAATAAAAAGAAATAAAAATATAGATAGAAAGTGTATTAGAAGCAAAGAATGGTGAAGAGAAGTAAGAAAAAGAAAAGAGAGGGAAGGAAAATAAAAGAAAGGAAAAAAGAAAAAAAAGTGTTTGTCCTCCCAATCTTCTTCATTGCGGTTTACTTTGGATCTTTCTGTTTTTGTTCGTCCATCCACTCCTCCTCTCTCTGATCTTTTGGAGCTCTATATCTTCAAATTGACTTTGGTCTCTTACAAATAGGTCTTAAATAGTGTCCAGTTCGTGGTTTTTATGTGATTTCCCTGTGATTTTGCAAACAATAAGGTCAAGTTGTTCATGTTCATCATATCCAATACTTTGAGTATCCATTGGTCTCTGGAAGGTGTTTCCTTTTGTTTCCACCTCTGTGCATAGACAATCCTTGCCACCATCGTCAGATAGTAGTATATTTTGTTTTTGTTAATTTCCCATTCAGTATTGATAATACTAAGGAGAAAATGTTCCAGTTTAAATGAAATTTTTGTCTTTAAGATTTTTTGGCAAGTTTCGTGAATCCCTTTCCAATAACTTTTTGCCTTTTCACATGCCCACCACATATGTACAAAATTCCCTTCCTGTTTTCCACATTTCCAGCAATTATTATTTATTTATTTATTAAATTTAGACTTTTTTTTGGTGTTATGTATCATTGGTACATAATTTTCAGCCAAAATTTCATAATTTTGAAGCAGGAAAGACAAGTACTGGCAAATACACAAGAAGAACATAAAATTAAAATAGAAAAATTAGAAACAATTTATGCCAAAACAGAACTTAAACAAGAAATGATGGAACAATAGGAATTGGTGTGCCAATTAAGATGGAAGAACATTCTAGAAGAATATAAGACAGATTATTATCCAGATAACTGCAAAGATGATGGATTGCTCAGAAGAAATGATAGAACAAAACATAGATCGTGTCTAAAAAATTACAACTATTTTTTCTCACCGTAACAAAGCAAAGAGAGATGTCATTGTTCACTATAAAAGAAAAAGAATGAGGGATGAAATATTAAAACACAACAACAAGAAGCCTACCTATTATAAAGGCAAGAAAATAGCAGTTCTAAAGGAATTCCCAACCACGACAATTATGAAAAGAAGAAAATATATGTACTTAAATGAAGAACTTTAAAAAGTTAGATCAAATTTAGATGGGAAAGAACAGAAGGTATAATGATTAGAATGTTATTGGTTGACATCTGAAGATAAGGCATGGGATTTTTACAAAAAACTTTAAAAGGATTTGCAGAAAGACAAGAGGGGAGGATAAAAAGATCCCAGAAAAAGACCAAGATTTGATCCCCCCCCCAAAAAAACCCAGACTTACCAGGTAACGGAGCGCCATCAAAATTGGATGCAATGGAAGAGGAAGGAGAGGAAGAGGAAGAAAACAACGATGATGACAATTAAATGCTATGCGAATAATGTGAATAGATTAAATTTTCCCAATAAAAGAAATAGAATTTTCAATCAGATTATAAAAGGGAATTATTTAATCGCACTATAAGAAACCCACATATCCCAAAAACATGTCACACATTTAATCCAGAAGATATTGGCATAGGAATTTTATTCGGCAGCACCAGAAAAAAAAGGCGGTGATAATTTATGTTAAAGATAAATTCAGGGCAAATTTAGCATTCAAAGATCAAGATGGCAGTATGATGGGGATTTTGATGGAGATGGGAGGCCAGAAAATGTTAACGTGTAACATTTACGCTCCAAATGGACCTAAGAGATACTTTATGAAGAAATTTAGAGGGGGAAAATTACTAATTTTCATTGAGTTTAACAGAGCCTAGCCCTGTTCCTGGAAAATTAACATAGTTCCAGTTCCAGAGAAAAATCAAGATGACATCACCATCATTATTAAGACTATGTATAGATATGATTTCCTATTATTTCAGTTACTATTGGCAATAGGTTACCTGGGGAACTTCCAAATACACTGAGGCTTCTTCTACACTGCCATATGAAATTCCTATTATTTGTGGATTATATACTTTGATGATGTGGATTATATGGCAGTGTAGAAGAGGCCTGAGAAAAATCACATACTCATAGATAAGATCACAGAAGCAGAATTACAAGAAGTACATTATTTGAAATATGCCACATGATTTAATGATATCTCACTGGTTTCAAGGTTATTGGCTAGAATCTGATTCAATAATGATATAAACTTCTAGGCAATTGGAAGATGATGAGAATGGTAATGATGATGACGATGGGTGGCGGTGATAATGGTGATGACAATAAAAACAGATATATAGCTTTGCACGGGAGGAAGCATGGTTGAATATAGTGGGATTTATTTCTTAGGCCCTTTCTACACTGCCATATAAAATCCAGATTATCCGCTTTAAACTGGATTATATGCAGGGGCGGCTCAACCCATTACGCAAAGTAAGCATTCACAGTATAGTTGATTTTGCTCAGGGGCACTCTTGAGGCGCTCTTGGGGGAAAGTAGACCTTGACATATGCAAGTTGTAGGTGCTGGGATGTATAGTTCACCTACAATCAAAGAGCATTCTGAACTCCACCAATGATGGAATTGAACCAAATATGGCACACAGAACTCCCACGACGAACAGAAAATATATATCAGTGATTTGCCCCCCGCAAAATACTGTTTGCTTACCATTGAAAATTACCTAGGGCCACCTCTGATTATATGGCAGTGTAGACTCATATTATCCAGTTCAAAGCAGATAATGTAGATTATCTGCCTTGATAATCTGGATTACATGGCAGTATAGAAGGGGCCTAAGTAGGCATGTATTTGATGACCTGTGAGGGAGCTAACATGGTATAGTAGTTTGAGCATTGGATTTTTGAGGCAAGGGCTCATATACCTGCTCAGCTATGGAAGTCTACTGGTCAACCTTGAGCATGTAACATTCCCTCTGGCTCAGGCAAAGGCAAGCCCTCTCTGAACAAACTTTGCCAAGAAAACCTATTTTATATTTGCAAGAAGTCAGGCATAACTTGAAGATGCACAACAACAACAACAACAACAACAGTCTTATGAACCCAACAATTTTATCAGTGAATAACTATACAAAAGATTCAATTTTATGGGAGTTCTCAATAGATGTATAATTTCTGCAAAACAAATAATTTTAAAGAATAAAAACTATCTTTTGGATTGATTAGATTTTTTTTTAAGAAAAAGATGCAATAGAACACCATCTGGGTGGAAATTGGCTGCTTGGAGTCCCAATACATCAGGTTTTCTATATTGATCTAATCGTTCTACAAAGAGTATTGTGGCTTTTTATTTGTGTTGGATGGTAAAAACTACCCATAAAAATAATTATGGAGATTTAGCCTATTACAACTTCCAGTGCTAAGAAACTATAAAAATGCACTTTGCTTTTTACAAAAGATGTAATCGAATGTGCCTTCACGAGAGTATTTTTAAAATGCTTTCTATGAGAAGCAACACGGGGAGAGCTTAATAGGGTATGTTATAAAAAAAATGTAGCCCGATAAACGGGGAGTTGCTAAGCAGCTGCTCCTTTCTTTCTTCTTTTTCTTTTTCTTTGTAATGAATATATTAAAAAACGTCATTCGCTGGTCACTTCTTTTTAAAAAACATATTGTTGCTGCTGCTGCTGTTGCACACTTCATCTCAATGTGCATGTATTTATGTGCGTCTCTATGTGGAAAATGGCATGGGTCAAACAGGAAAATTAGTGCGTATGCTATTCATTTTATTAAAATCATTTTGTTAAATGAAACTGTGTTTAAAGAAATAGATACCTTTAAAAAGACTCATTTTTGCTATTTTGCTCTTGTTGGATTCAAAGAAAATGATAGTAAGATTACAGGGTGAATAGAGCTGAGCCTGATAGGGAATCAGCAAAATCAAGGAAAGGGAAGTGAGAATTGAGATGATTTCACAGTTGATATGAGGATGAATGTGATTTGAAATGTAACTTCGTTGTGGGGCTAGCCCAACCATTCAACAGATCTGTATGTCACAAAAAGCCAGAACAAATTAGTTATTTAATTCAAAAACACATACATACCTTTTTTTAAATCCTTTTCCACATGAAGATGCGGAAGAGGTACTTAAGAAATGTGCCTTCACTGTCAAAATAATTTAGTCTTTTTAGGAGTGTTGCTGACCTTAATGTGAATAAATAGAGGAGAGGCTCATAATCAGTATAAAATTATTTGAGCCAGATGTGTTGTATGAAATATTTCTGATGAAATTATGAAATTATCTAAACAAAATGGGACAACCTCATCCTCAAACATAGATTTTGCCTTGACACTGGCTGTCCATGTGCCTTGGCCAGAAGTCCTTTTGGAATTAGTGGTGAAAGATTGACTACATGTTGATAATGTTTTCATATGCTTTTTAGGATGGATGATGCAGAGGCTTGTTTCATTTTAAGTAGCCGATGTGAAGTGGACAGACCTGCAGCTGTAAGTCTTTCACATACACTTTCTTGCCTTTGGTGTGCCTTTTGTTATTTGTTATGCATACTGTATAAGAATAGAGAAAGAGCTGTTGTGCATTATCTTAGTGTTTCTCAGACTCTTCTTTTTGGACTTCAGCTCCCAGAAATCCCAGCTAGTTTACCAGCTGCTGTGGGAGTGGAAATCCAAAATATCTGTAGAAGAAGAGTTTAAGAAACTCTTATCTTAGTGGTATGAAAAAAACACATAAATGTAGACATTGTTATTAAAAAGATCTCGACTACTACCAAGAAGTAGTACCTTTAAGATAAACAAAATCCTTTGTTGACAAATATGTTGTGGTGGGAAGACAACATATCCAGAATAGGTTAATTTTAAAATATACAGGAAATATATTTGAGCTTGTAATAAACAGGAAAGTGGGACTACAAAAAGATCATATTCTGGCCCTGTAAATAAGTAATGCAAAAAATTACTCCAAACTAAATTAGAGAGCCAACATGATGTATGGTATTCAACTAGGACTCTGGAGAACAGAATTCAAATACCCACTCAACCATGAGAACCCACTAGGTAACTTTGGGGAGTCATGTTCTCTAAGCCTCAGAGGATGACAAATCTTGCCAAGAAAATCCTGTGGTAAAGTAAACTTATGGTTACCATAAGTTGTAAACAACTTGAAGGCAAACCACCATGATACGCAATTGGGAGTTGCATGACATAAGTGCTCCTTTACATAAGCCGAGCTTTTTCTGTTTTACACCAGTGACCGTCCTGTTAATACCACCTCCACTGTGAAGCAGTGCTATTGATGGTAAAATAATGGTGGAAGCATTTTAATTAGAAATTACACCATCTTTTTTTGACATTTGGAGAATATACCTGGTTATCATTGATTCTTGTAAGCTCTTGCCCTCCCTTCACTGACAAAAACCCTTTTCATCTTACACAATGAATTCATTGTTAAGAAACTCTACATCAGTGGTTCTCAACCTGGGGTTCCCAGATGTTTTTGGCCTTCAACTCCCATAAATTCTAACAGCTGGTAAACTGGCTGGGATTTCTGGGAGTTGTAGGCCAAAAACATCTGGGGACCCCAGGTTGAGGACCACTGCTCTACATATTGCAGAAGATCTGGGGGTTTGTTTTAGGGTACAGAGTCAGTTCATGTGGGTCACTCACCTGCCAAGCCTCTTGAATTTACCCATCTATCCACATGCAGAGTAGATTTGACTAGAACATATTCCTAAATTTCTCTGGATTGATAATTTCAGCAGAAGATTGATAGCTGTAGACAAGCAGTTTCTCAGGGAAGCTTGTCTGCCATTACTTTCTCATTGTAAATCTTCACTTATTTCATTTTTGCATGCAACAGTGAATAATTTCAGTTTTCTTATGCTCATGCACAAGAAAGATTTTGTACCTTTTCCAAGGGTTTTCACATATACGCAGAATACTTGGGACTTTGTTCAAAGGTTTTGAGCAAAAATACACCGCATTGTTGCAACAAGCAAAAGGGACTCTTCACACCAGCGAAGTTGGTGGAGGGAGCAATTTGCCTCTCCCCCCGAATGAAGAGAATGGATGGTTGCAGTAGAACCATCTGGAAAAGGGGGCAGGGGTTGGCTGACTGTTGCAGCCAGCCTCCTCCCTCATTCTGCTGTGAGATTTCAAGCCTGTGCCAACATACTTAGCGTATGGCAGGCATGGCCTCGGGTTCACATTGCCTGGTCAGCCATTATCCCATGCCTCAGGTGGCCTGGAGGCGGCGACGTAAGGAAACTTGAGAGGGCCAGGAAGCGAGTGAACCGGGTCATGTGTACTGCACTGGCACGTGGCAGAGGATCTTACATTCATCACAATAACATTACACATGACAAAACACATTTCTACTGCTTGGACGGAGTACATCTATTGGATTTAGCTAACTCACAATTTTTGTCTGATTTGCAGATTGGGATTCAAGGGGTTTTAAGGGACTTGGTGGGGGATGGGGGCGAAATAGACATTTGCCCCCAATCCGTGGCATAAATAGCATAGGAAAAACAGATATTGATGTATACACAAGGCACCTGCACCCCTTAAGGGTTGGGGTCATTTCACAACAAACACTCACCTAGAGGTCATCAAATGGGTGAGGGGACATCACATGGCACAGAAACGGGAGAGTCTGAGATCAATAATTTGATACAGGCTTCTCCAGACCTTTACCTTAGAGGTTGCCCGGTTTGGGCTCCAGGGGACACAGATATTACACACTGAATAGCCGAGGACGCTGCCTCGGTTTGGACACCAAGTTCCTAGACACATAGTTTAGATCAGTTAAAGTTAAATAGGTAATATTTAATAAAGCTGCCCAAATTTGAATCCAAACTATTGTTGTCCAGTCTCGTTATTTCAGGGGTTAAGGGGCAAAACACCCATCATTTTTGCCTGTTTTCTTCACACAAAATTATTGTTGTGCAAGCACCCAAATTTTATACAAATAATTTTTTTCAGAAAACAAAATCCTGGGTTATGAAAAATCTTGTTGAGAGTGGCTATTTTCTCAGTAGAGTTTTTCCATGTGTCAGGGCAATCTTTCCCATTGAATATGAGAAAGTGAATGAATGTTCCTAACAGATCCGAAGTGGTAAAGAACAGGTTATGGGGAAGAGACTCCCCTGAGGGCTTTTTTTCTCCTCTATAACCAGTGCCTCTGGGGAAGGGCCTTGTCGTGGCGGCACTGCTTATACCAACGCTTCCCCATTTTTATAGTCCCATCTCTGTCACTTATGTACTTAGCACCCCAAAGTGGAAGCTTGGATGAATTGCTTACCCTTGAATTCTTCCTTCCACTACAACTGAATAACTAAAGAGTTATTCTTTTCTCCCATTTAATTTCCTTTGTTTATAATGGCTAAGACCAGAAAATAGGAGGGCAGAGAAAAATGGAATTATATAAAAAAAATATTCTGTTTTAAAGCTTGCCCTACTGTCACCTTTCTTGGAGGAGAATAAAAAGATTCATGATACGATAATTTATTAATCTTCCAATAGCACAGATTAAAACAAGAGACACGGCCTAGAGTTGCTCCTCTGTTATTGATATTCCTTCTGACCCAAGCAAGACATTTTTTAATTGCCTGGCTTTTTATCATCTGGTGTAATTTGATTGCAAGCTTTATTTTATTTTTTAAAATCCATTCTGTTTGAGTTATGTGTTCATCTGCTGCTCTTTGCTGTATTAACTAATTGATTATTTTGCTTTTATTAGCTTTGGATATATTTTGCCAAAGGGGAACATAAACATCTTTTGAATTAGATATGTTAAGTTCTTTTAAAATGATTTTCACTTCACTTCACTTCACTTTATTTCTTAATTAGTCGCTCTCCACCAAGGTGCTCTGAGCGACTTACAATCTAAAATAGCATTTACACAATATAAAAACATTCAACATAAAAACATTCAACAGTGACTATTTGGCAAATTAGATCTGATTACTTAAATGCACAACCAAACAGCCAAGTCTTGAGTGCCTTTACAAAAGGTCGCAACTCTGACATTGCTCTAATGTATGGAGGCAATGAGTTCCACAGAATTGGAGCATAGGTCGAAAAAGCTCTATGCCTTGTAGCTTCCAGGTGTACCTCCCTAGGGCCCGGTATGTATAGGAGATTTTCCTGGGTGAATCGAGGTGACCACTGATGGAGAAAAGGAATGAGGCGGTCCCTAAGATATAAAGGTCCTTGGCCATTTTGAGCTCTAAATGTCAGGATCAGTATCTTGTAAGAGATCTGATGTTCTATTGGTAGCCAATGCAGTTGTTGCAGAATCGGTGTAATATGGGATCTTATAGATGATCCCGCTAGCAGCCTGGCCGCTGCATTTTGGACCATCCGAATCTTCTGGGTTGTTGACTTCGGAAGGCCGGCATATAAGGCGTTGCAATAGTCCAACCTCATGGTGACTATTGCATGGATTACTGTTGCCAATGCTTCTACCGAAAGGTAGGATGCCAATTTCCTTGCCTGGTGAAGATGAAAAAAGGTCTGCTTACTTATGGCAGTGATCTGGGCCTCCATCGTCAGCGATGAGTCCAACACAACCCCAAGGCTTTTAACAGTGGCAGATGGAACCAGAGCTTCCCCATTGAAATCAGGCAGAGACTGGATTAATTCTGGCGGCTGGCCGGGCCAGAGTATCTCAGTTTTTGCAGGATTCAGTTGACTTCCCTAACCAGTTCTGAGATTAGATTGGGAGATTAGGAGTAGGACATGGGTAAGAATATTATTCTTCTGACAAACATAATATAGAAATGACTTATAGTCCTTATCTGTTTATGTGTTGAGCAGCTGCATTACAGAACCAGTGTCAGATTGGTAAACAAATAAGGACAGCAAAATGTCTAAAATTTTATCTATGAAAATGACTTGTTGGTAAACAAACATGTTAATCCTGGTGATAATACAATAGCAGTTCCACATGTTACAGAAGAGATGTGTTTACTTCATGTATACCACGAATTGGCCTCTGCTCCTCGGTTTACCCAACGTAAAAAATTGTCTGTACCAAGCATAAAACTTTTGTACAGTACTTTGCAAGTTGTTTCAGTGTTCTGCATGAACAATCCCTGAACAATCCCTTCTCTCATATAGGAACATAATTGTTTTTATGCAAAATACCTTTGTTTATTTTTAACATATAAATATCCATAATTTTAAAAAAGACTGGCTATTGGCTGCAAAGAAAACTTTTAATATTGAAGCTTCTTAGAAACCTGGACTTCTTCTTATTTATTTATTTACAGTATTTATTAGGCTTGGTTGATCCAGTTCGTTAATTTCTTATCTCGTTATTAATTCATTAAATAATTATCTTTTGAAGCGATATCGACGCGTTTTGGCAACCCGGAAGTGTTTTTGCCATATCGAAGCCGCGTCCGCCATCTTCCTTACGACTTCCGCCAGTGAATCGTAAATGCTGGGGGCATGGCCTTCAGGAACAGCTGTTCTTATCCACGCCC